GGCGCTCGAATTTGGCAGGGTCGAAATGATCTTTGAGCTCTTTAGCCACCCGTGGAACCAGTCAAACGAAAGGTTACCATCGAGAATATATTTCGATACGGGAACCAGAAATTGCTCTGACACGGATTTGGATATCCACTGTGCGTGGCGAACCTGATGCACATGCAGATTAGACGGTGGGTCAACGCAACACATATATGAGATAGCCTGTACTAACAATTATAGACCTAGAAAGAAGTCTTTGGGCTCATTAGGGCACGCTGCATCGGCGGTTTGGGCTCACTCTTTTAACCAAGGATCGTGCGGGCCAGCACAGAAAAAGAACTGCGATCGGAAAAAGTCCTGGTTCGAGCGCGCAATAGACCCGCCGTGTCGCACTACAAGTTGAGAATACCATCTGGGTCATGAGGGAGTAAGTTGGATGGACCAAGACCGCACCCCACGCCGTCCGCAGTGACGCGTCGACAAGCGGGCTAAAGCATCCTGGGTGCACTTGGTCAAGGGCATTCAGCGGGAAAGTGCAGTTTGGCCCACCTAAACCATGAAAAAGCATGGGACTGGGGTGAAACGAAACGCGGTCACGAGCTGTCACTCTGTCCCATGTTCGACTCAAGATAATTGCTCCCTATGCATACATCGTGGGCGCTTATGGCGCAGTGTTAAATAAACATTCCCCGCCTTCGAGCGCTCCATACACGGCGCAGGATAGGTAAATCGTACAAATATATCTCCCAATCGCCTTTGCGCGCAGTGGATTGCTCCTTGGTGTTAACCGGTCATCGCCGTGTCTTGCTAGAAATGTTCAGGGCGCGCTCTGCATGTGGAGTGTCAGATATCTCGCTGAGCGACACCACTTTGACATGGACTCGTTCCCTGTGTCGCCCGACTCGCCTCCAGCCTTGATCCAAAAGCCAGAATGAGGATGTTGGCGCCTAGCCGCGCTCACTGTGGTATCCAATTGATATGGATCGGATAGCTCCTACGTCGGCCTCAAAACTTGGCGCCGTGCACGTGCGCGGCTGTGTGCGGGCGCCGAGTGGGCTTGCGGAGTGCTTGCGGAGCAGATCTCCATCAGGCCAATCAATTGACGGTCATCGCACTTGTGGCAAGTTGCGCACAGGTGATGTCGACCCGAGGGTGCAAGTGAGTGAATGTATGCGCGGAATCTTGGAGGAAATTGCAATGGAAATGGTATTTTACATTCTGGAAATACGGGCGGGGGGAGGGGGGGAGGAGAGTCTCGCTGTCGACGAGTCGGACGAGACTGGTGGCCGTCACGTCAACTGACCGGTGGACGCGGGGTGAGGGCGTGAGATCGAATCCGGAAGGCTTTTGCGACCCTGATTAGATTATTTTTCTCCTCTACGCTGGCAATGGACTATGACGGCCAGAACCACTTCAACCAGCCGCGCTGGCAGGCCCCGCCCCCGCAGCAGCAGCCCCAGCAGCACTACCCGCCCCAGTTCGGCTTCCAGCAGAACTCGCCCCTCCATCGCACCTCGAGCTCACTCTCCCTCAACCTTGCGACCCTGACCGTCGCTTCGCCTACAAATTTGTCGCCAATCGGGCCCCCGTCCGGCGCACTGAGCCCAGTCACCCCGATCAGCCCCGCAACATACGGAAACCATCTACATCCCTTCCAGTTCGGCGCCGGTGGCGGTGGTGCGAACGACTCGAACGACTCCTCGTTCGACCACGACTCGTCCTACGACGCCGTCAGCGTGAATGTGGCGCATTCTCCGCGCTCAACGACGTCGACGTTACCTAGGAAGCGCAGTTTCTCGTCCGACCCACCCCCCCACGCGACCGCGTCGCGTTCGCATACCCCAAGCATCACCACGCCCGCCCTCCGCATCACGACCGATAGCGACACCCTCTCCCCGCGGCATGCCTCCCCTGTAAGCGCCAATCCCACCAGCGCAGGCTACGACGACATGGACATGGGCCTCGGGGTGCACTACGACGCAAATAGCTCCCCTGTCGACGGCAGCAGCGGTAGCGGCGACGACGCAAAGATGTCTATCCCCAGCCTCGTCCCCACCATGGGCGTCCTGGGCAAACCCATGGCCACCAACAACTTTGTCACCAAGCTCTACCAGATGATCAACGACCCAAAGTCGTCTCACTTTATCGCCTGGACGGAGCTCGGCACTTCTTTTGTCGTTAGCAACGTCGGCGAGTTCAGCCGCAGCATTCTGGGCAGCCATTTCAAGCACAATAATGTATGTATCATGTCTACCCTGCGAATCCGATCGTGGCTCATCGCCCCTCCAGTTCTCTAGTTTTGTGCGCCAGCTCAACATGTATGGCTTTCACAAGATCAACCGCACGCCTCGCGCGCAGCGGACCACTTCTGATGCCCAAACCTGGGAGTTTTCGCATCACAAGTTCCTCCGCGCGCGCCCCGATCTCCTCGACGAGATCAAGCGCAAGGCCCTCGAGCCCGATCCTGCACTCAAGCACCGTGTTGAGCTTCCCGGGGAGGTGTGTAACGCGAGCAGACTTTAACCCCCCCGCCTGATCTCCCCCAGGTCGCCGCGCAGCTCGGAGCTATGCGCGAAGAGAATCAGCGCATGTGGGAGCAGCTGCATGCCGAGCGCCGTCGTGTTGAGAAGCTTGTCACGGTCGTCAGCCGCTTGTGGGAGGTCGCCAGCAAGGGCTTCGGTCCAGGCAGCGGTTAGTCTGCCACCTCCCTAATTGTCCCCCTAACAGCCGCCGCAGTGCCGCCTTTCCCTATGGACCTACTGGAGCCGAATATTTTCGTCACCTCACCGCGCGGGTATGACGCAAATTCATCCGCCGGCGATTTTTCGCACCACGCGTCTCCGGTGCACCCGCCGCAGCACCATAGACAAGGGCACGGACACTCGCACTCTCTCTCGCGGCAGCAGAGCTTCCAGCACCTCTCCTTCTCGCGCGGGGACGCTAATAACGGCTCGCCGCTACCCGCGTCGCCTGGCTCGATCACGATGGAGATGTTCGACGAAACGGAACCGCGGAAGCGGCCTCGTATGATGTCAAGCGACGATGTGCACGCGCACTCGCACACACACACGCAGCCGGGTCCAGGGGTGAACGGGAGCCCGCATCCGCACCACGCGGCAACCGTCGACTCGTTGTCGCCGCCGAAACCGCGCACGAGCCGGGCCCGCAGCGATAGCGCGCCTTTGGGGTATGCGATGGCGCCAGGTGCCGGCGGCGGGGGGCTTGGCCCATGGGGGTCGGGACCGAGTGCCGGCGGCGGGCGCCCGCGAAGCGGGAGTGGCCTCGCACACATCGGACCAAATGTTGCGGGGGCGCGCGGCATCCCGAACATTGGAAGCATCGTGCGCGGAAGCGGGCTGTCCCTCACAGGGAACAGCCTCTCGGGCAACGCGCCGAGCCGCTGAAGGGCGCGGCCAAAAAAGGGTTTGCAACCCTGTCTGTTAAGTTGTATCGATCTTGGACCCCCCCCCCTCCCCTGCCGTCATTCAAACCCTTCTGCACGAACCCTTCACGACTCCGCTATAGATTTCTTTCGCTCCGAAAAAACACATTTGTCATTCCTTACCACTTGTATTCCTCCCCTCCTTTGGTCGAACAATCACTCCTTGCGCTCTTTTGGTTGCTCTCGAGCTTGTTTATTCCTCCCTGACACCCCACTGCTATCTGTTTTAACGTGTACAACTACACCGTCTCCTGCCCTCATCTTTCCACTTCAATCTTACTATCCATCTGGGACTCGCCCATTCACGCCTTCTCCTTGTTTCTCTATTGTTGTTATGGGGCAGGGCGTGGCAGACGGTGGTGCTATAGCCTATAGATATATGTGTACTACCAGCGGAAATCAAAATCAAAGCACTGAATGGAAAGAATACTAGTGCATTGAATTGGCCAGGGGTAATTAGTAGAGTACAGGTGCGTGATGCGAGCGGATACAGATGCAATAAGTGATGTGGTACAACCCCAGAATCACGATGGGCGGCCATTCATATCGTGCGAAATGAACTCGATGGAAGGCGGCCGGGACAGGCGGGACTGTATATGCTAGGAATTAGGGCGGTCGGACGAGGCGGCAGCGCGTACCTCTGCGTGCATGCCGTTCACCTGCGTGGACACAGCGCCGAGGCTGCTGTTGCTGCTGGCGCTGTGGAGACCGTCCCCGCTGTTCACGCCGTTACCATTGACGTGGTGCGGGGGCTGCTCTGGGAGAAGCGGCGCTGCGAGCGCGTCCATTGGCCCGGGCCCCGGCGGCGCGTCGTGCGCGGGTCTGTCACGATGCGGAGAGATCCCGAACGGAACGGGAACCTGTGCGGCTGCGGCGCTCAGTGCGTCGAGGAGCATACTAAGAGGTGTCGGCAGGTAGCAGACGGGAGGAAAGATAGACGCGCACTCATTTTCGGCCTGGAGTTTTTTTATCTTGCTCATAGCGAGGTCGAGGTCACGGTGGTACTCGTCCTGTTTCTGCGCAGGATGGGTACGCGCAGACCGACACGAAGACCACGTACTGCAGTAATGCGTTCATATTTTTCGCGCAGCATCAAGAATCTGGCGGGCGTCAGTTGGCAGCCTGGCTGAGCGCCGTGTACCTACTTGTCCTTGTATCTTGAATTTCGATATGGCATCTGGTTAAACACTTGGGATAAGCAGAGTAGGATGTGCTGGATACACACGATGAACGGGCCATTGACGGCGACATCTGGAGCCAGGCGAGGGGCGTTGGTCATGACCGTGCCACTGTGTGGCCCGCCTTCGAGCGAGAGGTCGGGCGTTGTAGGGTCCTTAACAACGAGACGGAATCGGTGTTGCGCGACCGACACGCCCTCGAGCATCCTGACCTCCTCACTTGACGGCATTTGGATCCTCCAACTTTGCGAAGTTGGATCGCGAACAAACACAGCAAAACAACCGCTTCTTCCAAAATAGGAAGGTGCCTACCGATCACTTCCTAAAATATCCCCTCTTTCTCGTATTCTTTTTTTTACAATTAGCTCATGGCTCAGCTGGGAGAGTCGCCAACAGGCGTCATAGCTCAGCTGGGAGAGCAACAGACTGAAGAAATCCAGCTGATATTCTGTAATCTGGAGGTCCCGTGTTCAATCCACGGTGATGCCATTTTTTTTCGAAATGTTTTCAACATTCAATGTCACTACCGCATAGCCATATGGCCAGGTACGGTAACAAGTTCAGTCCACTTGAATATTCAGTCGGAGTGTATAATATTTCACACTTGATATTTGTTTTTTTCTGCCCTTTCGAATTCGCACCAGAGCTTCGCCCACTACTTTCTTTTTGCAGCGCTCCAAGAAAATCACTTTGACATCATCACAAATCCAAGTTTACTCCCTCTGCCGCAATTTCCGCAAGATATACCCTAGTATCGGCCATAATAATCAGCCGGTTTGCTCCCGCAAAGGCCATACTCGCGGAGCCGACGCCGAGGAATACTTTGCCGAGGAGCGTGCCGTTCGGGTCGAAAACCTGCGGCAGTTTATTCATCGAACCAGGTCGAAAACGATGCTTACATGTGTCCCGTCCCCACACCCGACGTACAAGTTTCCCTTTGTGTCCAACGCCAGGCCGTCCGGGACACCCGTATCTGAGAACGCGAACACGCGACGATTGGTAAACGCCTGCGTCTCCGGCATGAGGTCGAATGCGTAACTAGAAAAACAATGAGGCGAATGACAGCTACCGGTGGGTTAATCGCACATCGTCGCCGGGAGTGTTGGGACCACGCCACCCAACACGCCCTCCGTCTCTCCTGAATCCGCGCTGTGGTCCGACGCGTCAGCGTGTAGCACACAAACCAAGTCGAGCAAGGGCAACTTGCATATACGCCGTACGCCCGTCAGGCGAGAACCCGATTCCATTCGGCTGCGTGAGCCCGTCCGCGACGACGCGCACCTCGCCCGTGTCCACGTCGAAGCGGTACACTTGGGGCGGGATCAGCGGCGCTGGCCGAAACCCATTCTCGAACCCGTATCTGCACAGCGAGAAAGCTCAAAGGTGCTGTATCGTCGACAAAGGGCACGCATACGTGTCGTCTGTGAAGAATATCGCGCGGCTCTGCGGGTGCACCTTGACATCATTGATGGAGTTGAACTGCCGGCCGTAGAAGTTGTTCAGGATGACGGTGTCGTTGAATGGAGGGCTCGGGTTGACTCTGACTAAGCTTGGTGGCAGGGTGCCGTTTCCGGTCGTTGCCAGTAAGAGGTCGCCGCGGAACAGTGTTCCGCCGTTGTTGACTTGCACGTCGTCGCTGAGCGGGACCTTGGTCAGAGATGTCAAGAGGGCCAATCGGGGATGCTATCATAGGGACGTGCTATGGTAAAGTCAATTAACCCCGTCGTGCTTGTCTTGAGGTCGTTCAGGTTTATCATGGACACCTGGCTGCTATGTGAGATAGTGGAAATAAAGAACTGGCTGAGAAGACAAAGTACCGGTCGTCCCACCGTCCTGCCCCCACTAAAGAACATCTGGTCTTTAGCCGGGACCCACATGGGCGCATCGTGCGCAAAAGCGAACGTGTCGTTTTCCACAATGACGCGAATAGTCGGGTTCGGCCCCAAGATCGCATTAAACCTGTCATCGTACACCTGAAAATATGGCGGAGTAACGCCCGGCGTAGGCTCGAAGAACTGCGATCCGTTGCGGAACGGGCCCTGCGGGTCCAGGACTGCAAAGGCGCGTTTGTTCTGGCGCTAAAAGTGTCTCAGGAGTGGCGTCTCTGTAGGACTATAAGAGTACCACAACGGGAGTACGGGTTTGTCCGACGGCAAGCGGTATGCCCAGAGCGAGCAAAGTTAGTAAAGGTATTGTCTTCATTCTGGTTCTTGAGAAAGCCGCAACGGCGGGAGGACTGACATGGATCTTTTGTACGTACATATACCCGCAGCGCAGGCCGCACAAAAATTCCACCAAGGTCGCTTGGTGAGATTTTCCCCTGGCTCGACGCGTCGTTCCCAGGTGTGCCACAAGATGAGCCGCGGAGGCCAGCTTCTGGAGTATTTTAGTAGAGGTTCCAGTCAGCGTGCAAGGACGCCCCCAGCGCCGTGCATTGGCATCTTGAGGTTGAAGAAGGGACTTTAAGTTTCAGCTAGGTCGGGAAGCTTGAGTTTTGTAACGCAACGGCTACCATAGGCTGCGGCGTCCTTATGATCGCGCCCACGCATGTTGCAATAAAGCACGGCTTTTAAACGGGCCGGCTGAGTTTGGAGTGCAATGGTGTGGAAAAAAGTACTAGTAAAGCAAAGCTGCCCATGAAATGCACACGAGCAACATCCTTCAGCGCATCAATTGGAAGTGTTATCACAGTACAATGGTCTAGTGGTTGTAACGGCCCTAAACCGGGAATGTGATTGGTCACTTTCATCGGCATCACTCATCTGTGCGCTGGTTCAAGACCGTCCCCTCCAGAAAACTTGGTTTCCACAATTCTCCGCACCGCAAGGCGTGGCCCCGAATTTGGAATAATCTGTCCATGACAGGCCAGGGAAGCAATTCTGCAACCTGCTGGGCTTGCCGAGTTAGTCTTCGGAGACAAGGGCTGGTCGTCAGTTCGCGCTGTGAGGCGAGCTAATCACAAACCTTTTTCCATTTCATTTCATTTTTTTTCATTCAATGGACTCTAATTTATTTATTTCGCCTTCGTGGTACACTCTCATTCACCGCCCTTCCCGATCCAGTGAATAATATACTATACATGCGACAGGACCTAATTAACAACCGAGAGCGGCGAGTAACAAAAAAAATAACAGCACACGCTAGGCCAGGAGCACAACAGGGAAAGAATAGAAATGACGATCTAATATAGCAAGAAGAAAAAGGAAAAAAAAGAGGCGCGAAGCCTGCCCAGCGCTCAGGCTTTTGGCGAATAAATAAATCTCTCCCATGAACAGGCGACAGAGAATCCGATATCGACCACGATGAACCAAGCGCTTGCGTTCGTTCCGTTCGTTCGTTCGTTCGTTCTGTTTGTCCGTCCGCATGCCCCGGCCCACAGCTTATTGCTTACCCAGGTCCATTGACCCAACGTCGTCCGGGTTGTTGAACCACTGCCCGAAGTCTCGCTCAAAGTTGATGTCTTGTTCCCGGAACAGCCCCACGTCAAAGTCTTCCAGTCCGCCCGCCATGCTCTGCATAAACTCTGACGAGAACAGATTGTCTGGCGTAGGCGGCGGCGGCAGCGGCATAGCAGCTGGGTTCATCGACGTGTTCGGGTTGATCATCAACCCCGGCGACGGCGCCACGCCCCCCTGTGGTGCCCCGCCCTGCCCGCCTTGCGTCGCCCCCGGCGTCGGCGGCGCAGTCGTAGGCGGCGTCGGCCCAGTCAGTGCCTGGTTTCGCGGCGATCTCTCCGTCCCTGGCTTGTTGGCATCCTTGTTCGCCGCGTTCTGGTCTTTTGCGGGCGACGGCGGAGGCAGCATCGACATCGCCTTCGGATTCGGCGGCCCCGACAGCCGGCTCCCCGGCGCAAACTGGCCGCCCGGCGGCGGCTGTTGCGCCTGCATCGGCTGCTGCGACTGCGGTCCCGGACCCCCTGGCTGTCCAGGCGGCATCGGCACACCTGGATTGAACGACGGGTCCGCCCCCGGCGACCCTGCGTTCATCGCGCCTGGCATACGTTGCTGCGGCGGGAGGTTGTGCATGCCCTGTCGGTACTGCATCGGATCAGAAACGGGGTGCAAGCAAATGAAAGACAGCCTACCATCGCTTGTTGCGCCGCCGGGTGCATCTGCGGACTCATCGTGCCAGGCATCGCACCAGGCATCATGGGGTTCATCCCGCCGAGCATGCCCATCGGTCCCGACATCTGCATATTCGGCTGGCCCTGCGGAGGGAAACCTCCGCTCATTGGCCCACGCATCATCCCCCCACTTCCCATTGGAGGCTGTGAACCACCAGGACCAGGCCCTCCAGGCGGGCCACCAAGACCAACAGGTTGCGGTTGAGGATTCTGGTTCGGAGGCTGTGGGTAGCCTGACATCGGCGCCGCAGCCATCGCCCCCTCCATAGGCGACCTCCGCACACGTTTGCGATCAGGCGGCGACGTCCCGTTAGGAGCAAGACCATCGTCTGGCTGCGTTGGCTGTATGATACCGTCAACAACTTCTCGACATAATAATCCATGGAAACACTCACGTCTTCCCCTGGAGACGTGCTGTTTCGCTTATTGTTTCGTCGAGGAGCCTGCATCGAGGGTCCCGCAGCGGCATTAGGCCCCGGTGGTCCAGGCCTCTGGCTACGTGTTCTGTGCATCATTATGATGCGACTCTGGACGCTCTCTCAATGTACGCCATAAAAATGAACAGAAGCAAGCGGACACACCTTTTCCGGCAATGTGAGCATCGCAATCTCCTTGTTCACAGCACCAATCTCAGACTTGTACATATTAATGATATGCGGAGCTATAGACTGTAGTTCATTGTTGAGGTGGTTCTCCTGCTGTCGCATGTCACCAGAGAGGGTCGGTGGTTGACGCGCCACCATCGACGGACTGCGGTTCATCATTGGGGTTGAGGCGCGGCTTGGTGGCCGGGGCAAGTTCGGTGGGTATGGTGCCGAGTTCTGTTGTCCAGGATTCATCCCCTGCCCAGGACCGGGCGGAAGCATGGGACCGCGATGTGGCGGGCCAAGTTGGCCCATAGGTGGCTGTGGGTGTGGAGGCTGCTGTCCCGACAGCGGCGCCTGAGGCTGCTGACCCGAGTTAGGTGGCGAGTGCGCCATGGTGGGCGACTGGAACGGCGGGCCACCGTTTGGTGGGCGCGGCTGGCGCGCGAACTGCGGCTGGCCCATCCCCGGTGGAGGGCCAGGCATGATACCGTTCATGGGCGCACCAAACGCTGTCGGCGCAGAAGGTTGCCCGTTACCTGGAGGAATTCCGTTGGCCATGACGCCGTTCGGTGGGAAGGGTCGAGGCCCAACACCATTCACGGGAGGACGCCCCATCTGTTGCACAGTGCCCTGCATGGGCATTGCCTGTGGACGGGTTTTCATAGCGGCCTGGGCGGCTTGGTGCTGGTTGGGTGAAGTGGTTTAAGTGAGTGCGGGAACGGGCGGCGCTGGTACCAAGACACACCTGAGTGTACATCATAGCATCATCCGTGCCGCTC